ACCCCACACCCCTAGCTCCCTGCCTCTCTACACCCGCACACACCCTCCTGCCTACCTCTCTACACCCCCACACCCAGCTACCTGCCTGCCTATACCCACACGTATCCACCCGCCGGCCTCTGACCACACTCCGGACACTTTCCCAGCACGGTCCCCAGTGGGTTTAATCAAATCCCCATCCACGCTCAGGCTCTGGCCTCACTGTGATTAACGTCACCGTGACCCCAAGTTTAGCCCTAATCCCCGTCACCGCCCCCTGTGCTCCGCACACAAACCCTCTGACCTCAGCCTGGCTGACCCGGGTGGCCTGAATATTGGGCACCAGGACAGGTCCCAGCCGCGTCACCCCAGTAGCCGCACAAGGAGGTAAAATTCCCTCCAGGCCCCTACCCGAGGGGCCCTCCAAGACTCACGTTTTTGGTTTTGCTTTTCTGTATGTGACAGACGGGAGAAAGGACACATTCTTCCGCAAGCAATGTCTCAGCAGCTACAAAAATCCCATAAAAAGCCCCATCTCTTTCACCGTGGGGGCTGACCAGTACGTGAGGCTCAACGTCACACAATGCAACGACAAAGACAAGTGCAACTCAGCCACACTGCAAGGTACATTGTGGTCTGTGTGCGGCATCCCTGTTTCAGGCCATGAGCACACACATAACTGGAGAGCAGAGGGTGGCTCATGTCTTACCAAGCCAGGCTGGCAGACGGGTGCAGAATGGCTTCACACTCTGACACCCCCTATCCCATGTGACAGTGGAATTGTTCATGTGGACAAGACCCGGCATAACTGTAGTTGTAAACGTTTCTTCCCTTCTTCTCAGCAAGTTTGCAGGTGACACTAAGCAAGGGGAGAGGTGGATACACTGGAGGGCAGGGATAGGGTCCAGTGACACAGATACATTGGAGGATTGGGGCAAAAGAAATCCAGTGAGGTTCAACAAGGACAAGTGCAGAGTCCTGCCCTGGGGACGGAAGAATCCCAAACACTGTAACAGGCTGGGGACCGACTGGCTAAGTAGCAGTTCTGCAAATAAGGACCTGGGGGTTACAGTGGATGAGAAGCTGGATAGGAGTCAACAGTGTGAGCTTGTAGCCAAGAAGGCTAATGGCACTTTGGCTAGACTCCCAGCCTCCCATTTTCTGTTTTGCTTTTCTGTGTGACAAAGATGGGACCAAGGACACGTTCTCAGCAGCTACAAGAGCGACATAAAAGTCCCCATCACGTTCTCTCTGGGGAACGGCCAGTACGTGAGGAACAACGTCACACAATGCAACACAGATTTGTGCAACTCGGTCCTACCTCAAGGTACGTTGTGGGTCTGTTTGATTTCTCCCTATTTCAGGCCATGTGCACACACACTTAATTGTACTAAGAACATAAGAACGGCCGTACTGGGTCAGACCAAAGGTCCATCTAGCCCAGTATCCTGTCTGCCGACAGTGGCCAGCACCAGGAGCCCCAGAGAGGGTGGACCGAAGACAATGACCAAGCAATTTGTCTCCTGTCATCCCTCTCCAGCCTCTGACAAACAGAGGCCAGGGACACCATTTTATCCCCTGGCTAATAGCCTGTTATGGACCTAACCTCCAGGAAATTATCTAGTGGGGTCCCCCAAGGGTCAGTCCTGGGACTGATCCTATTCAACTTATTCATAAATGATCTGGAGAAAGGGGTAAACAGGGAGGTGTCAAAGTTTGCAGACGATACCAACCTGCTCGAGATAGTTAAGACCAAAGCAGACTGGGAAGAGCTTCAAAAGCGTCTCCCCAAACTAAGTGACTGGGCAACAAAATGGCAAATGAAATGTAACGTGGCTAAATGTAAAGCAATGTGCATTAGAAAACATCATCCCAACTATACGCATAGTAGTGTCCCTCAGCCTGCTCCCTCCCTGGCGCAGAGCGGTGCCCCCGGTGGCAGCGTCTCCATCCTAACCTCAGGGCTTTGTCTCCAAGGCTTGACCCAGCCTGGCCTGCAATAGGCTCCCCGCCGGGAGCTGTCCGTGGTGCTGCTCCCTCAGCCAGCTCCAAAGTGACACTAACGGCTGCTCTCTCTTTTTTAAACTGAAAAGTCCCAGTCCCAGTAGCCCTCTTCATATGACTCCGGCGGTTAAAACATGGTTAATTGACCAGTCGAGTAGTCGATGGATTTTCCATCGACTACTTGACTAGTCGACAGGCACGTCCGCATCCCTCCTTTGAAATGGACAAGCGGCTCTGCTGGGCCCCCGCTGGGGCTCTTGTACATTTCCAGGGAGGAACCCGGCACTCCGCGTGCAGCCTGGGGTCGTGGGAAGTCTCCCTGACTCCGGGCTGCATGCAGGGGCCAGCTTTGCAATGTACAAGAGTCCCCAGCGGTGGCTCTCGTGCATTTCAAAGTCAATGAGAGGAATCGGGATGTTTCCCTCCCAGCCCAGCTCCCCCCCAGCGATGCCGCCTTGCTCTGCGGTGATGGCAGCGGGGTACTTGCCAGGGGAGGGTTGTGATCTCAGGGATGCAGAGCTGGGGAGGGAACCCAGGAGTCCTGGCTCCCACCCCCCATTGCTCTAACCACTAGTCCCCACCCCCTTGATGTCTAAGGTGGAGCTAAGCTGCTGTTGCCCCGTGAGGCAGCTCCTGCTCTCAGTGTGTCCAGGGCTCCTGGTGCTCTGGGGTGGTTATAAAATAACTGAACCGAGGAGTGAGGAGGCTGCCGGGACATAAGAACATAAGAACGGCCAGACTGGGGCACAAAAAAAGCCCCGACAGACCAGTGTCCTGTCTGCCCACAAGCAGAGTGGGGGGGATTCGAGAGCAGCCTGCAACTCCCTGAAGGGGGTTCAGAGAGGCTGGAGAGAGGCTGTTCTCAGTGGGGGCAGGAGGCAGAACAAGGAGCAATGGGGCTCAGGTTGCAGTGGGGGGGAGGGGGGAGGTCTAGCTTGGAGATTAGGACAAACGATTTCCCTAGGCGGGTGGGGAAGGTCTGAGCTGGGTTCCCTAGGGAGGGGGTGGAATATCCATCCCTAGGGGTGTTTAAGTCCTGTCTGGACCAAGCCCGGGCTGGCTGATTGAGTCGGGGCTGGTCCTGCTTTGGGCGGGGGTGAGACTGGCTCCCGAGAGCTCTGCCAGCCCTGATATTCAATGATTCTTTATTGCCCCAAATTCCATTTCCTCCCGTGTCATTTCTGTCTCCAGTGAGATCCCTGTAGTGGGCGGGTCACAGGTGGGGGTAGAACAGTCGGGGCCTGTTTGCCACCAGATGGGCGGGGGCTGCATGCGAAGGAGGGAGCAGCCGCCGGGACAGGCTCAAATCTAAACTTCCCCGCACCGATCGGCTCCCCCTTCACACTCGCCGGGATCCAGAACTGAGCCAGTGCGGCCGTCGCCGACTGTTGTGTCCCAGACAGGCAGAGAAATGCCCCCGGCTGCAGGGAGGGGCCTGCACATGCTCGGCGAGGCAGGGCCCAGCCCCCAGCTGGGACGAGGTTTCACCCACCCGGTAACCGTCTCTCTGTCTTTGTTCTCAGTGACCAAGAACAACACCTTGAACGGGCTGCAGTGCCCAACCTGCTTTGCTCTGAACTTTGCTGCCTGCAACAGTGTAATCACCCCCTGCACAGGGCAGGAGACCTATTGCATAGATTTCAAGGGCATCTGGTTCCAAGGTAAATTCTCCCAGCTGGTCACAGGGTGGGGGGTGCCCGGGAATGTCCCAATGTCCCGCCCAGGAGCTCCCCCGAGAGTTGTTGGGACCCGGAGTCTGTGCAGAGCCCTGGGCGGGTGGGGTGGCTAGGAGGGGTTTTGGCCGGAGGGAAGGCGAGAGGAATTGGGATATTTCCCTCCTAGCCAAACAGCCCGTCCCTCCCCAGTGATGCCGCCCTGCTCCGGGGGCGATGGCAGTGGGGTACTTGCCAGGGGAGGGTTGGGATCTCAGGGATGCAGAGCTGGGGAGAGAACCCAGGAGTCCTGGCTCTTCCCCTCCCCCCACTGCTCTAACCACTAGTCCTCTCCCCCTTGATGTCTAAGGTGGAGCTAAGCTGCTGTTGCTCCGAGAGGCAGCTCCTGCTCTCAGTGTGGCCCAGGGCTCCCGGCGCTCTGGGGTGGTTATAAAATAACTGAACCGAGTGGGGGGCTGCCGGGGGTGGGGAGAGCCGGCGTGTTCCCCGGTGGCGCCGCGCTGGGGAAGGAGCCGCCCCGGCCAGCTGGGGAAGGAGCCACCCCTGCCACAGCCCCATTCCCAACCCCAGCGCCAGGCTCCTGGGGGGCGGGGGAGAGGCAAGAGGGCGCCAGGCACCTGCCTGGATGTGGCCTGGTGCAGCCAGAGCAGGGAGACCCCAGGCAGAAGGGAAGGGGAGGCAGAGGGGGAACCGCCGGCTGGTGGGGACAGAGGGGAGGAGGGGGAGAAGGACCCAGAGCTCCCGACCGCTAAGAACAGGCTGAATTCCTTGAACAGGTGACTCACCAACACCATTTGAAGCACAGGGCTGCGCGTCGGCGTCTTCACAGGAGATTAAGCCCAGGAGCAACCTGACTGTTGCAATCTACAAGTTTGTCTTTTATTGGGTGACCGCTGTTAAAGCACAACCCATACCCAGCAACCCATCTACAGCCCCCACGACGCCTCCCCCGACTTCCCCATTTCAAGCACAGGGCTGCGCGTCGACGTCTGCACAGGAGATAAAACCCGGACGCAACCTGACTGTGGCAGCCTACACCTTTCAGTTTTATTGGGGAAGCTCTGGTCCAGCACAACCAATACCCACCAGTCCCAGCATCCCATCTACAGCCACCACGACACCTCCCCGCTCTGGAACCGCCCGGGCTGCAAACGCCACCCTTACTGCCACAAAGACCAGCAAACCCACCATGCACTCTGCAGATACAAGCACCACCAAGGGAGGGAGCCCGGCTCTGGGGACAGTCCCCTTCGCCCTCTACCTGCCCGGCCTCATGGGGCTGCTGCTGGTGAAGCTGCTCTCCTGACCCCCCACCCTGCACGAGCCCCACAGCGCCTGGTGCCTGTAAATCAAGCCCAAAATCCCAGCTGCACCCCTCCCCCAACCCATCTGTGCCACTGGGGTGACACAAGGGGCCGTGGCATCCCCAACCCTGCCCCGTGTCCAGCGGGCGTCTGTCCCGGAACCTCCCTGCTGGCTGGGGGCTCTCTGGGCTGGAGCGAATCCTCGGAATAAATGGGAATCCTCCCGAAAAGCCCTGGCTGTGGTGTCGTGCTCAGGCTGCCCACGCAGGGCCCGGCCACAGGCGGGAACAGTCGGCGTTCGGAATCTGCACCCCTGCAACAGCACATGGGCGGCTCACTCCAGCCGGGAGATGCTGGGGGAGGCCGGACACACATCCCCGGGGCAAACTTAATTCACCCCCCCCTTGCATCTTCACATTGCGCTACAGCCCGTGCTGACGACTGTGGCAGGGACAGTCACAGGGACCCCCTGCACAGGGATCCCCTGGCGACTGTCACCTGATGGGCTGAAATACCACCTGCCTGCCCTGAAGGGCACCCCACCGCCCGGTCCTGCTGGGCCAGACCCCTCAGCTCCTAAGACATCAGAATGGCCAGACTGGGTCAGACCAAAGGCCCAATCAGCCCCGGGTCCTGTCTGCCCACAGTGGCTAAGACCATGTGCCCCAGAGGTAAGGAACCCAACGGGGAATCCTCATGTGATCCCTCCCCCGTCACCCATCTCCGGAGAGACACCATTCCTACCCAGCCTGGCTAATAGTTATCGATGGACCTCACCGCCATGAATCTATCTTTTCTGAACTCTGTTAAAGTCCTGGCTTTCACCACATCCTCCGGCAAGGAGTTCCGCAGGTTCACTATAGGCTGCGTGAAGAAAAATATCCCAGGACCTTGTACATGTTGGCTCCCTCCACAGACACTGGGAACAGCTCAGCTCAGTCACAAGGACGTGCCACGGTGCCCAGACGGGCAGACCCGATGGGACCTTAACCCCCAAATAAATCAGCTCAACTCTGCATAGAGTTTTATCCACCGCACGCTCATATGGGTCACCCTCTTTTGTGCATAACGAGAGATGCGGAGCGGCTCACCCCCCCACCCTGCGCCCAGACACCAAGTCCCGCACTGGGTTTTTAACAAACACAAGAGGGGTTGTTAAGTATAAAAGGCAGGAGCTGAGTGGTTGCAAGCAACAGCACACGGAGCAAAGCAAGTCACTAAGAAAGTCAAACCAAACATCCCAACGAAGCCCCAATAACAGGAGCGCCCTGACCCTCCCGACAGGCCAAGTCAGGGTGCCGACAGGCAGCAGAGATACTGTAAATTACCCAGCGTGTACAAGGGATCGGGAGAGGAAGATGTATCTTAGCGGGAGCGTCACTGTCTGGCCTGGGGGGGACCGGGACGTCCTGCTGTTCGCTGAGCTGGCCCGGTAGAGTCTGTGCCATACCAGCCCCGTGCTTCCTTCACAATCAAGCCGGGCGCTGCCTTCATCCCTGAACGGATCTTGTGGCCATTGGGCAGTTTGCCGGCTGGCTGTGCAGGGCTGGGGCAGAGTGTGCGCCCCCCCACACCTCTGTCAACTTCTAACCACAATAGCTAGCGGGGCGTGGTGGCGGGATACATCGTGCACATCGATCCTCACCCCCCGGGTTTTATTCAGAGGCCGAGATGAAACAAGGGGGGCGGGGACCTAAGAACCGTCTAGCAGGCGGGGTCAGTTTCAGTCCGTGGGCCCTAACCGAGAGCAGGTTTTGACCAATCCGGCAGGTTCCAGGGTGGGGCGACTATTGCAAGAGAGCTGGGTGACCCCCCCGAGGGAGGTTCAGCCCCCCCTTCGGGTGTGTGATGTAGTGTCGGTACATTGCTGGTGGCTGTGCTTGGGCTGTGGGCGACCCCTGCTGGCCTCTGTCTGTGAGCACAGCCCAGCGGGGGGGGGGGGGGGCGTGGGGGG